CTCTTTCCCAAAAACAAATCTTCGCTTTGGCTAAGACCCGGCGGCTGAAAGCACGCTGCCAGCTCCTTACACATGTACAGACTCAATGACGCTCAATGCAGGCACTACAGGCCGCTGGTGCTGACTTGCAGACTTGCAGGCTGTAGGGGATACAAAATACCAAAATATTCAAACCGGTGCCCAAGTTCTTATGTTTATCTTGTCTCTGGTCTTCTATAACACTGGCTTGGGAAATTCAATTATATGCAACTGTTAATGTCCTGATCCAGAGGTTACTGAAATTCTTCCACTGGTTTAAACAGGTTTTGGATCCAGGCCTAAGATTTGGCAAGTCTTTACCAAGGGAAACCTGATAAAAATTCACAGATTTAACAGACATATTAATTATCTAGCTAAGCAGCCACTACTACCTTACAGACCAGAGAACACTGCTTAATATCAACCAATGATTATAGCTCTAACTGCATTTTTATAATCCATAAAACCGGACTTGCAGAAACTATGGAAGGAAATTTCAGTAATTAAAGCAAAAGTTCTTCTAATTAACTGCAAAGCATCATTAAATCTAATGAAACTGTAGAAGAATAATACAGGATTCTGGCTTAATTGCAAGAAAATAAATATAAATACAAACAAAATTTGAATTTTCACATGTTTTTTGGTTTACGCAATAGGATCAAATGCATTTACAGTAATTAACAGCAACAAAACTTATTTTTAACACTGTATGGATCACCGTTTGGAAGTTAGGATATTAGTGTTAAAGAAATTAACATATTAAAGAATGTGGCATATTGAGGCAGAAGAATCCAAGAAATACAAATCCTTATCAATTACAATAGTCACATTTGGGATAGTTAACCAAATTTCACAGCAGGTGATTAATGTGATAACTCTTGTTGCACAAGCATGACGTAAGTCAAAATTTTTCAGTGCAGAATTTTTATCATGGCATATGTGAACAAGGTGCATCATCACATACCATGCAATAGATGAAGAAGAAGCAAGACCTTCAAAGCTCTGTAAGTGCGGTATGCTGTAAGACACTATTCTGCCATTACACTTCCTTGCCCTCCCTGGGACAATTGCCTTTAAAGCTCTTGGGAGAAAAATCTTCATGAAAAGCTTGAAGGCCTAATTCCAGTCAACGTATATTATCTCCAGAGAAGTCAAAAGAGCATAACAATGTTTACTGAACAAAGATTTAGGCCGTAAATTACACTGCTGTATTTTACTTACGGTCAAGGTATTACAGCTGGCATTGCTCCCATCTGACTTCAGCCCTCTGAAGTTTCCAATCAAAGGCTATACAGACTTACTGTACATACCACGGAAAAAGATAGACCTAAAGGACAATTCAGCTGGTCTGCCTTAGCATAGGACACATCACTCTTTGAAGGTGACCTCGCTCTTGAAGGAACCCAAGTGACCAGTCCTTTCTGGGGGCTAGTTAGGCAGGATTTCCATCCAGAACGGCTACCACCAGGACCGCTTTTTTGTATCTCCCTACTAAAAAACTTAAGTTCTAGCTGAGAGAATTTAGCTCAAGGAGGCCAATCTCTACTGCCATTAAATCCTATACTAATCGTGCTGATGGATAAATGGATGGCCTGTGCATCAGCAGAAGGTATGAGCCAATCAAACTCATGCAATTGTAACTCACAGGTGCCAACACTTTTCAGACTAATACTGATGTAGGTTAGATACTAAATGATAACCTAGGATTAATCTGAAGATCAATTTCTAATTGATGTCAATGGTTAAATGCATTAAGAGTATTTAGTATTTTAGTAAAGTAAGACTGGAAAGCATACAACGTTGACCATAATGAAAAATATAAGCATATTTCCAAAATGGTAAAATAGTCCTTTTTTAAAAAATCCAAATTTAAACCCAAATGCAACCATAATAATAGAGTAGCATGCAGTTAAGAAGTTTTTAGCAAGTTATTTGCTTTTGTACAGTTCCTGTTTCTAAGAAAGCATACAATGTGTACAGACTCTTGCTGTCTACATTGTTATCTCATGTACTCATACCTTCTCTGTGTCAATTCCTTTAGACATGGACCAGGTTGAGACAATATAATCCATGACTCGTTCACTAAGGCCTTTTGGGACTTGATACAATTTTAGGAAATCCCGCACATTGTTCAGCATCTCATGGTATCGGTTGGTGTTGGCATACATTTGCTGGAAAATGGTGGTGACGTTTCCAAAAATAGTTGCATAAAGAAGAGCTGAAAAAAATGAAAGGTAATTAAAAATAAATACATACGCTGTAGTAAAATGCTACTCATGATTCAAGAATAACGTCAAAGAAAGTGACATACAGTTACAAACTACTTCAAATGCATAGGTGTAAATTGAAAATTTCTAGTTATACACACACACATACATGCATGTGTACAGCGTGATTTGTTGAATTTACCCATATAATTCATATAGTCACTCAAGGTGCATTAATTTACAAAATCATTCATACAGAGAATGTCCATGCACAGAGTTATTCAAAAATAGCCACTATGGATTAACCTTTTATGATACATTAATTCAAACTAATTTTTTAGCGTAGCTGTAACCTACCACTAAACCTTGAAGGCACTATCCAAGGAATCATACAGATTTCATGTAAGGATCAGCTCAATAAACTCGTGCTATGAATAGAGAATGGGTCAGTCCCAAAGAAGAGATGGATTGGAGGAGAAACGAGCCTGGGCAGTCTAGCAAGAAGATGTCTAATTTAAATGTGGCCCTGCAAGAGTGGCCAAGGTATACACAATATAGATCAAGTGCTGTCTTTCACAATCCTATTTTACAGTCAGCCACAGCTGCAGACTTGGCTATGTCGTATCAACTCTAGGTACCAGTTGCTAATGATTTCAAAGAGAGAAAAGGGGATGAGCAGTGCAATGCCCCAAATTTATTGCATTGCTTTGGGCATACCCCAGGGCAGGAGGAGGACACAGCAGAGTAGGAAGCACTAGCCCAGACACAATCCTGCAGTTACCTTCTCTTCTGGTTTGATTCTCCCCTTTCCAAACACGCCACCGTGACTGTCAACCTCAGGCAATCAACTTTTGCAACACCAAAGAAGCACATTCCATATTTCAGAAAATCACACTTTTTCAGTAAGCCTTTCCAACTGAAAAGGGCATCCAATTCAGTATACTATTACGTGTGATACAGCGAAAAGCTATTTGATGGAGAACAACTAATTTCTCAAGCCTAAATTCAGTAAAGCATTTAAGCAAAAGCATAAATGTATACCTGTGCTAGTGCTTTCTTGAATAGTGGTGGATTGAAAGGTGTTCTTAAGTTAAGCAAGTTTAAGGTGCCATACTGAGTCACAATCTAACTACCCTTGCAAGAAAGCCCAAAATGACATTCTTCCACTAGGCATTACAGATTCTGCAGAAAAGAAAACTATTCTGATTTCTCATAACACCAGTGCGCTGCACTTTACTTCTGCTCTTGACGTTATCAAATACACAGAAACGTGCCTGTCATTTTTAGTAATCTTTGCTTGGAGGTACTGTATAGGAGAGTGCAGCTATGCATTTCCATACTGCTTTTTTTAAAAAACAGCCGCAGCCTACAAATGGCAAACAATAACCCATTGTGAAAGGATAAATGCCTTCCATCTCAATGCATAATGTCTTCCCTCTACACCACACACTTCTCCCTCATTCCAGAAAACTGACTTTGTTTCATACTCATTTACTATCATCTATCACCCTTATCTGAGAGGTGGCACTTCTAAAGAAATACAGTGTTGTCTTAAAACCTAAATAATTGAAAAATTGTACTTCCATTTCTCATTATGCCTTTTACTATGTCAATGTAAAAATGAGAAGTTGAAGTTCATCAGAAACAGGATGTTCATTTCATCAAAGACTGGGCTTTCTGAATCCCAGCAGACAAGATTGTATCAAACAAGGTCACACAGTGGGTAGCGCAGATGAACACAAGGTTTCAATTTTAGAAAGCTTAGTAATGTTCTACATGTTGTCCAGAAATAAAACTCTGTGCAAACAGAGGTTTTTTTCCCCTTGATTTACTGATCGTTGTATCATGTCTCCTAGCTACTATTAAAAGGTTTTCTATATCTCTGTGCCCACTGAGATATATATCAACACTATAAAGATTATAGAAGCATGTAGATTTTAAAAAAGTCTAGATGGATGAATGTCACCTGACTTTTTGTTTGTTTGTTTTCTCTGCTCCTCTGGACTTTTGATGTTGGTCAAACTTGATGAATTGTCACTTCTTGTAAATGCAACATCCCTCATTGCTCTCAAGAACATTTGCCAATTTATCATGAACTTAGTTTATCAGATATGTGAGTGCAGACTGTTTCCCGTCTTGCTTTCTGATGTCAAATACACCTGAAGCTGATTGTGACCAACTATAAATGTAAAGAAAAATCGTAAAAATCGCAACTGTTCCAGCAACCCTGCCCTGCAGCATTTCTGCACCAATAAAATCTGTGCAAACCTATAACTACATCTACACTGCGTAGGCAATTGCAATGCATGCAATTCAACTGCAAACCTGCGCAGAAGATACAGAGGCTGACGGAAAATTGTGACATAATACCCTGTTAGATAGGAAAGAAGAGATTCAACTCTCACACCTGCCAGGTTGGAAAAAGCTAAGAATGTCATGGTGAAAATAGCTTGTCTGAAGCAACTGGTATTTATTTCCTCCTCTGCAAAATACGACTCTTTGGCAGAGACAATTTGTAGAAAATATGCAGCCAGCAGGGAAACTCTGTCCCCGGTTATACATCTCTTAAGAGATGGACTTGGAAAGTTGCACTGAAAAAGAAAATGTCCGTTCAAGAAATTAAGGATAGAATAAATCATTGGAACAAGCCTGCAAAATTGCTGGAAACATTACCCAATAGTACCTCGCTAAACCAGAATTCATTAGCCTACAGGCCATAGAGTCTGCACAGGCAAAAATGGCATTAGCCTTTGTTTGAAATCAAAGTTTTCCTTCGACTCATATTTTAAATGATAAAGATACATGGCTGAGCTCATCTAAATACTCCATTTCTCTTACAGCTTCATGCAGTGTGGGCCTCTGGCAAACATCTCAAGGGAACCTACTTAGATGTCAGCAGCTTTGAAGCTGTGCCTCAAGGACTCTCCTTGCTTGTGGATCTTCCCTACTTCAGCGCTGGCCACTAGTGGGCCTGGTTAGCTGGGTTTCAAGGGGGAGCACATTTTTCATAATTTGGCACAGAAAAATCCACCTCTTTCTGGAAATGAGCTCCCCATCTCTGTTTTCTATATGATACCTAGCAAAGAGGGTCATTTGAAAAAGCTAGTGTTTATTGCTCGGCAGGTCCTGGTATGCAACCCAGTAAGTTTCTGCTGATAAAGAAATCATTTGCATCACATTTGTTAAACATGTTGTGACACTGTCTTCTACAGGGAAGAGTCTGCTTGGGAGGGTTTAATGCCAAGAGGTTTAATTTATCTTAAAAATACAAGTTACCTGGCTTTGCTCTTCCCTGCCCAATACCAGGCTGGCGTGATTTCATCAACAGAAAATACAAAGGAAGTTGGACTGGAGTAAGTATCTAGACAGATGACCTGGTCAGCTCCTTAGCTGGCATAAATGATACTATAATAAATAACACAACACCACTTAGGGTATTTTGCTTTTGTTGTATTTGAATTATTTTTGGCGGGGGAAACTGGCAGCAAAAATCATTTGCAAAAGGTTTTGAAAGATGTAAAATACTGTGCCTCTCCTGACAGTAAGACAATTTAAACAATCTATGAAGAAACCTCTGAAAATATACATGCACCTGAGGATTTCAGTTTGGTCTCTCCTTTTACAAGAAGTTCAGGGCAAAGGGAGAGATTGTGCTACATGCACTGAAGGGGAGATTACTTTATCCAATTTCTTGATTTGACTAGTTAGGTCAGACGGCATTTATTCATCTTCTCTTCAATGATTCTCTATCTCTTCAGATTTCTTCTGCTATGTACCTAAAGCCATACAATGCTCACTTTTTAATTGCGCTGTGTATGTAAATCTTGAGTGGTCTTCACTAGATTTTATACAGATCAACTTAAAATAATGATGCAGAAATATTTTTTCACAGCCCTGAACATGAGGTAGGTCATTCAACTATTATTTGAATTTCTTTTTTTACTTTTCAGTGTTGAACAGTCTCCTCCAAATTACATACAGGGATTTAAGCCCTATATACATGTATATATATAAAATGTATATTGCTGCATTTGTACATATATATTTTTGAATGATTTAGTAATCATGTTACATAAATCTTTATGTCTGCTTAAAAACAAGCAATTTTCTTACAAAATATGACTCAGAATTACCTAAATTACCCAAATATTTTCTATTATTACTTTCCTCCCTACCTTAATACATCTGATTATACCACAAAACGTTTGCAGGCCCTATTCGGTGCAACACCTTGGCGTACAGTTCAGTCTCCATTTCCCAAATGCGATCGCCTCACTGAAGTGCAGCAGCGATAGGCTGCCACTGCTACAGTAAACAGCTTTCCCCAAACCCATCAGCATCACTGCAGAACCCCCCCACTGCCACAGTGTAAGATCATTAGCGGAGGGCTACATGTACCCTAGCAGCCCGCACCGGTCAGTCACGTAGAACATTCCAGAAGGAAGGCGAGTCTGCACGGCCGTCTGCCAACAGGGCATCTGCATTACAGTTAGGGATCGAACCGGACCCCTAAGAGCGGGGGTCTAGACAACTTTAACCCATCGCTTGTCTGCGGTCCCAAAGTGGGACAGGGATAAAAGGGGCACACGCGAGCCCAGCAGCGGCTTTTGCGGTGGCGGCGGAGAGAAGAAGAGAGCTGAACACACTGAAGAAGCAGCGGCGGCGGGGAAGCAGCAGCCTCGGCGGCCTTTTC